GACAAGGGAAACTTATAACTACTTTGGATTTGGTTATGTCCCGTGTTAATGTGAATTTGTGCAATGTAACAGAATATTTGCAATTAAAACGAACCTAACAATATAAGAAAATATGTCGGCACCTTTTATATAAATTGTTAATGCTATTTCTTGACATTGCTTCATCAGCAATGTCAAGAAATAGCACTTAACTCTTACTGTGTAAATAATGTCTGCCGCAGTTTTCATGAATTAGCCGTTTATTTTAGAGAAAAGTGTTTTTAAAAGTGATATAAATGTAAAAGCTAGTTTTAGCTTTATAAAAATTAATTGTTTGTTAACTAAATAACCTTCCTTTCATTTATTGTTTGTTATATAGAGATTGTTTGGTATTAAAATTGCTCGTAGTCAGATTAGTTTTTTTCTTTTTAAGTCTAGGCATTAATTTCTCTTCATTTATCGTTAAAAATAAGAAAAAGTGATAAGCTAATTTTAAAGCACTAATAATATCGTTTATTTGACTTTGTCAATTGGAGTTATCTTGCTGTTTTTTTATGCATTATTGTTTTGTTTCTTAACTTTTATATCTTATAAAAAGTGTTATTGTAAAAGCGTTTTATACTTATAAAACGTGATCACTTTTTATCTCAAGTCACTTTTTATCTTATAAAAAATGTTTATTGTCAAACGATATTCATCTAATGACAAAAATACTGCTAAACGGTTATCGCCTGCACATCGATTAGCACGTTTTTTCTAATACTATGTATACTAACAATATATTTCTGAAGCTGCTTTTTATTTTTGCAATTTTTTCCCAAATATGGCAAATTATTCTATCGTTGACCAGCAGTTTGCCTGTTTCAGTCCTAAAATGACCTTGGGCTCAAGCTTTTGGCGCACAATAATACCGCGGAGAATTCTTTTCGTCACTGCATGACATCAAAAGTCGTGTCCAATGAGAGCTTGGGGTGGTGGCTGTGGCCAGGCGCTTGACTGTAGCCAGGGCTAAAGAAAAAGAAACGTTCATCCGTTTAAGGGGAACGATGCTCCCAACTATAGTAGCCTTTACAGACACGAACCTTGTTGGGGAGCAAAGTAACGTCACTGGGTTCCACACCTCACCTACTGACCAGAGTTTCACAGTGCGAAAGCTCAAAACTTTACTTCTTAGATTCTTTGAAAGCGGTCTCTTTTACTTGAAAATTATAGCTGAGAATACTTTAAATATGAATTAGTGAATTCCTATAAAGTTTGTTTGTAACTTAGAAAATTGGTTGAAAGTTAAGTGGGCAGTATGCTAAATTATGCAAAACTCACACTTGACATGGTAATTTAGGTATCATTTAATACGGTAAAGAAACAAAAGTTATATTTCATCAGTTTCCGCACAGAAACATTCAGCAGACGGAAGAATGGCTGCGTAAGTGTTGCAAAGAAAGAAAACTGACTTTTTTTCTCGTTACACATTTTTCAACAAAAGTCTTTGTCCATAGCAACCAGCTTTTTCGCCTGGAATAGAACCCAGGTCAAATAACCAGTGATCAACAACTTCGCTGGTTGGCCTTTGAAGTGGAAACTGTTGAATGAAAAAGTATTTTTGCTCTGTAATGTTTATGAGTCATATGTATGTGTTTGAAGTGTGCTTCATAGTTGTAGTTGTAGCTTTTCCTTGAAAATATGTATGTTATATTTTTAGATAGTTATTCCACACACTATTCCCCGAGTTTTAAGGGTACTAAACAGTCATAGTTATTCATTCATAGAACACTGATGCTTGGAATCATGGGAAACCTGGTTCCTAATGGCTGAATAGGCTGGTTGCATTCTTTGCATATACAATTTTGGGTTTTCTTCCGCAAAGGATCCGTTGGCGCCCATGCGTATTTATTCGCCAAACTGGCTTGTATTTGCATTACATATGAGCAGGGGCATAACTAAGGTTTTAAGTGCCCGGGGACAACTAAAGATTTTGCGCCCCTTTCTGTGTTCCAAGAATGGAAAACATTTCATTCTAAAATTTCTAGCATCAATTTGGCGCCCCTTGGATGCTGCGCCCGGGGACAGATGTACCCCCTTGCCCCACCCTAGCTACGCCACTGCATATGAGTAAAACTAGAAAAATCAACCATGCAGCCAGCCCTTTAACTATTATATGAAACCAGACCAAACTACCAGTATTCAATATCAGTCGTAGGAAAAATCTGAAGAAAATGCTTGCAATATCATGTAATCAGAAATTAACTATGTGTTGCATAGCAATATTACTTTTGCAAGTGTCGAGGTAGAGAATACTACTTTTTTTTATATATAGGTATTTGGCCATTGTATTCATTACATATATTCTCTGTCATTCATACGGAATACTAATATTTTTAGTAAAAAGGGTCTTTTTCATAAAGTGCTTTGCTTGTCGATATTCTCAAAATTATGTTTAATAATTAGTGCTACTGTACATTTCATAGATTAATAGATTCGGAACTACTCTGATATGCGCCCTCAAGTCGCCAAATATTTTTGGCGAGAAACTTTATGCTGCCATATTACTATCTAAATTTTTTGTCTGCATTTTGAACTTTTAGCATAAAATGTCTCCAAAAACGCGGTTTTCGCACATGCAAAAACTACGTTTTGAACACACAATTTAGCTAAAAATCCGAAACAAAAACAAAAAATTTAGATAGCAAAAACGTAAAGTTTCTAACCAAAAATATTTGACAAGAATCCATGTACACAGCGACATGTTTTAACTTAAAAAAAATCTACGAATGGCACAATGTAGGCAACGAACAAATCTACAAACTAACGCACACCTCGCTTTAATAAATTAACATAACAACATAATTTCAAAGAATACCATGTACACAGCATCCTGTTTAAACTTAAAAAAAAATTCTACGAATTGCACAATTTAGGCAAGGAAGGAATCTACGATCTACGCACTTCTTGCTTTAATAAAATAACATAACAACAACAATAAATTTCAAATAATACCATGTACACAGCGTTCTGTTTCAACTTTAAAAAACATCTACGAATTGTACAGTATAGACCCTAAACAACAAAATAAACTAAAATAAATTTCAAACAATTTAAAAAAACAACAATAACAACAGAAATTCATACTAAAGAACCAATGAACATAACATTCTACAAAATAAGAACAAGGATAAAATAAAATGCACTTACCATTAATTAATGCGTTTTCAAATAGCAGAAATATAAATTTTATACCGCCTTTAACATGCCGCCACGTAATCACTATCGTATTTACACGACAGCCAGACACACTATCCAGAAAATTTATACTATGGTTCACAAGTAAATAAAATCACAAATCCCTACTTCTATCATACACTGCCATTAAAAATAATCTCCCAGATCCTCTTTTCCACACTTCCAAATACCCATTACCCCTCAACAGGATAGCCACAATCATATTTCCTTTTGCCGAACTTCAATTCAACAACTACCATTTTATCTTTCCCTTCCATCTTCTCAGACACAGAGGCGAATCAACGAGCTCCAGCGAAAGATTTTTCAACATTCAACAGGGTTGCCATAGGAACACACAATCGTGCCAAAAACCAGCGCAGAACACATATCGCCACATTTGGTGAAATTAGGGCGTATGTAGAGTTGTACCATAGATTCATTACTAAATAATACATTTAAAACATTCATTTTACACTTTTTCAAAGTTGTTTTTTGAATTTACTTGCTGATAGCTTAAAATATTTTATTTTGAAACAACTGTCTTTTTCATAATAAATTTGACAATGCCAAGTATCTTCAATAATATTCAAATCCTTTAAAGTAGCATTGTAAATAAAACTAGAATAAACATTACACATCTTGTTATCTTTCAAGATTCATTCAAACTTTGATTAATTACTCAAAGCAGGTGGTTTACTAACTTTGATGACCCTGGGAATACATAAAAGTATTTTGTCATCTATCGAGAACCAATAATAATTTTTATTTCATTCTAATCATCTATTGTATATAAACACCTAGCATCCTCTAAAAATGTAATGTTAAAATGCATTAAAAATATATCAAATTTTTAAGAATGAAAACTGATTTAATTCTTATTATTTTAGGTAAAAATAATAACAGTAATAAAAATAAAAACTTAATTATTTAAAACGTATATTATTGCGGCCCTACGTTAATCATAATATTTTAGAAGCCGCGTGTTTAAAGTCTTTTAAAATTACGTAAAAACACAGCCATACTATACTAAAAAGCCGTGTTAAATTCACCCCCCCCCACCGATTTTCACCATCTCACCCGGTAGTGACCCACCGACGGAGCCCCCGAACAGATGAGAAATATTCTCTAAGAGCGAACCGGGTTGCTACCTCCGAAAAGCCAATTCGCCAGGTTACCAACTTTGAACTTTTATCGCCATTTTTGGCTATGTTTACATTTAACGGATCCTTTGCGGAAGCACTTCCACAATTATATATATATATATTTTGTATATAAGCTTAGAAACACTACTGCGTATGAAGTAGATGGCCATGTATGCTTTGCTGTTATAAACAACTTAGGTTCAGCTTTATAACACACTGCCTGCAAGTGGCTAAAGGTTTAAGACTGCTAAACACAAGTAGTTCAATCTGAATTCAGGTTCTGATAGATTGGCTGGTTGTATGATTAGTTTTTGCCATGTGTAATTAAAATAGGTACAACTCTGATATATGCCCTAATTTCACCAAATGTGGTGATATGTGTTCTGCGCTGGTTTTTGGCACGATTGCGTGTTCTATGGCAACCCTGTTGACGTTGAACAATCTTTAGCTGGAGCTCGTTGATTCGCGTCTGTGTCTGAGGATGATGGGAGGGAAAGATAAAGAAGTTGTTGAATTGAAGTTCGGCAAAAGGAAATATCATTGTGGCTATCCTGTTGAGGAGTAGTGGGTATTTGGAGGTGTGGAAGGAGGGTTTGGAAGATTATTTTTAATGCCTGTGCATGATAGAAGTAGGGATTTGTGATTTTATTTATTTGTGAACCATAGTATGAATTTTCTGGAGTGTGTCTCGCTGTCATGTAAATGCGATAGTGATTACGTGGCGGCATGTTAAAGGCGGTATGAAATTGGCATTTCTGCTGCTCGAAAAAGCATTAATTCATAGTAAGTGCATTTTATTTTATTCTTGTTCTTATTTTGTAGAATGTTATGTTCATTGGTTATTTAGTATGAATTTCTGTCGTTGTTGTTTTTGAAACAAAACGCTGTGTACATGGTATTATTTGAAATTTATATTGTTATTATGTTATTTTACTAAAGCGAGGTGTGCGTAGATCATAGATTCGTTCCTTGCCTAAATTGTGCAATTCGTAGATTTTTTTTTTAAGTTTAAACAGGATGCTGTGTACACAGTATTCTTTGAAATTTATTGTTATGTTAATTTATTAAAGCGAGGTGTGCGTAGTTTGTAGATTCGTTCCTTGCCTAAATTGTGCAATTTGTAGATGTTAAGTTTAAACAGGATGCTGTGTACATGGTATTCTTTGAAATTTATTGTTGTTACGCTAATTTATTAAAGCGAGGTGTGCGTAGTTTGTAAATTTGTTCGTTGCCTACATTGCGCCATTCGTAGACTTTTTTTAAGTTAAAACATGTCGCTGTGTGCATGGATTCTTGTCAAATATTTTTGGTTAGAAACTTTATGTTTTTGCTATCTAAATTTTTGTTTTTGTTTCGGATTTTTAGCTTAAATCGTGTGTTCAAAACGTAGTTTTTGCATGTGCGAAAACCGCGTTTTTGGAGACATTTTAGGCTTAAAGTTCGAAATATAGACAAAAAATTTAGATAGTAATATGGCAGTGTGAAGTTTCTCGCCAAAAATGTTTGGCGAGAAATTTGGCGACTTGAGGGTGCATATCAGAGTAGTTCCTTAAAATATGAACCAGTTGTCCAGAGAAAGCTCTTCATAAAAGCATCCCTTCTCTTTGACAGATTCCTTGTATACTTCGTCGTGTTGAATTAAACAGTGGTATAAGTAACATAACTTACTACAGCCATTCATTTTAATAAATCAAAAGTAAAATTTCTACATCATGATCATCATCTTTATACTCTTGCCTTATCCATTTTTGGGTGTCAGCTTGTAGCTACTTATCCATTGTTCATCATATATTTGTTCATCATACGTTTGTTTCATTACTTCAGTTATTCTTCCGTAGACTACAGTAAGATTTCTTTGTAAGATCTATCTGTACTTGTCCACATACACTAACCTAGATCCTACAATAAACCTGGCGAATTCTTGCACGGGTGTGAATTAAATGCCATTACAGGATAAGGGTGCAAAATAACCCTTTCTTAAATCAAACTAAATTAACAGACAGCACGTCTTCATGCGTTACAAAACACCGTTCACTTGCGGTGGTAACTAAACAGAAACTAGAATACAAATCAAATTCTGAAAAAATTAAACGAGTGCAAGAACGCACTTCAAAATTGCTCCTAAGAGATGGACTCGCAGAAATCTAACTGGCGTGATACTAAACTGATGAGGCTAAGAGGCTTACGGTTAGAGTTCACTTTAGGGTACCCTTTGTATTATTGCAAAGCTGTTGCTTAATTTATCACCAAGTTGTTTCATTTATGACAACCTGAGTAGTTGAATGTTATGGAACCCTATTATGATGTAATTGGATGCGGTGAATTTGAATCGTGGAAAAAAATTTGGAAAGTGTGTGTCGGATTTTGAGTAAAGGTTTGTGTGCGTTGGATAAGTCTTTTGTTATTTTGTAGTTTACATGGTTAATTGGCTGAATGCGGTAAGATTAATTTGAAGTTTCTGTAGGATTTGGAACAAAAGGGAAAAAAAGCATTAATTGACTGGTCTGTAAATGAAGGTTTACTTAGTAGCCATTATTAAGTGTCCTGTTTGGAGCAAGGAAATGCGCATGGTCAAACATCGTGATATTTGGTCGAATAGAGGATATTTTTTACTCTTATTTTTGTGAATTTATGTGGCGACACCAGTATACAGATTTTAGTCCAGATAATTTTAAAAAGTGTTTGGATGTTGTTAAGGAATTTTGTTTGACTGAAGATGCATAAATTTCTAAATAAGGTAAGCAGATATTCCCTTTGTGTAGTGTTAAGATGAATTTCCTTTTTTATGTTATTTCATTGTTTGATTTAAAATGTAATTGATTCAGATTATATATTTTTTCTTGACAGCTAGTATATTTTTTCTTGGCAGCTTTAAGTGAATATTTTTCGATGTGTACATGGAAAAAGGGAGTGCGCAGAGCCTAGTTTGTGCAATTCTCTGATTTTTTTCAAGTGGAAATAGGTCGATGTGTGCATGGATAAAGTCAAGGAAGTGCGCAATGCCATTTTTGTGCAATTCTGGGATTTTTTTCAAAGTGAAAATAGGTCGATGTGTACATGGATACCGAGTTTATGCAATTCGTTGTCTTGTTGTTATGGCTTGTGATTTTTGGCGCGAAAATCGCCGCTACGCAAGCCAAAATAACAAATCAAAGAATTGTACAATCTCGGTATCCATGTACGGCCAAAAATCGCCAAGTTTCGTCAAGGGGTACCCTAAAATATACTTTTACCGAGGCTTACTAGCGTAACCGTGAAATAACAACGGAATGTGCGCTAGGCTAGCGAAACACGCTCTGAATAAACTGAGATAATCACACGTTTAAATAGCACTTCACTTAACTTTAAATTTACATCTGGGCAAGAGAAGTGAGGGGAAGTTGAGAACAGGAAAACTTAAAATAAATTTGTTATGCAAAATAAGAAAAACTCTACAATTTCCCTCGCCAGCATTAAACTATCGCATAACAAGGCTTTAAAAGCCTGGATAAGATAGCTAAATTCTAAATCTACACGTGAGTTCACCTTTACAATCTTAATCTATATCTTAACTAAATTTAAAGGTTTTTACAGATGCAAAAATGTGGCACATAATTACAATATCTTCTCTCTTAAGCAATTCTTGTTCTGTCTCTTTCCAGGTATCCTGGAAGGAAAAAAGTTTAGTACGTGCTTACATATATCTTACATTTGCCACACTTTTAATACATATATATTTTAACAGTTCAACCCTTTTCTACATTTACTCAATTCAATCTTTCTAAATAACCTTGAAACTCCTTGCTCTCCAGCATAGTGTACCGCAAAATGCGAGCGTGCTTTATGTAAAATGAGTAAAACACTTACCGACTACCCCACATTTACTTGTTAGAATTGAACCAACTTGACCTAGACAGACACCTTACAATCAAATCTCCGCCTGAGGTGCTAACGCTAGTGAAAATTAACAGTGTTGTCTGAAGAGCCTAATCTTTTAAATTACATTCATTCTCAAATTATGTTAACTTCTTTTTAGTACTTAACATCAGTAGCATAGACTACTCTTTCATTTAAAACAAAATTTTAAGCATGCAAAATACTTTAAGTAATTCAGAATTCAAACATTTTTACATATTCAATTTCTTACTTTACTCCGCTGAAAAATAAGCATAGATTAATTACATGCATGAATTTTAACACTTTCAGCAACGAAGTTCGTTTTCTTGATATCATACAAACATTTTCCTACCACAGTCTCTACAACCAAAGTTAACATTTCATTCTAACATGGGGAAGATAAACTTTTGCTAAACTGTTTGCTAAACTTTCTTACTTTTCATAAACATTTAAATCTACTTGCTTAATAGAACAATTTTAAATTACTTGCATAATAACAATAATGCAAAAAAAATCTTTTTAGCTTTTTTTTTTTTTTCAAACACAAAATTGTAAGCTTTTTGCTAAATACAAAATTGTAAACTCTTCCTAAATTCAAAATTGTAAGCTTTTTGCTAAATTAAACAAATCTTGTCCTCTTCCCGAGGCAAAACTGACAGAAATATTTTCAACCAACTTCATACTAGATTTTAAAATAAATTTAAATAGAATAATTTTGACTTATCTTTTGTTTGGCGTACTCTGTCATTCTCTTTTTGATGACGTCTTCCCATGATAGAACTTGACTGAGGGTCTCACCCGTATCCTCTGGCGACTTTGCCCGTTTCCATTGCTCTCCGTTGTCGGCTGTTTTCTTTTGATGCCTCAATCCCACACTGGTGTCTTTCGACTATGTTCTACTTCTGCGTGCGCTGGACGCTTTCTGGTTGTGGACGAGGAACCTCCTTGGACTAGCCGGAGAATTTTTCATTGGACCTCCATTTCTTAGGTATTTTCTTCTGTTTAACGGCTCCTCTTCTAATGGACATTTCCCTATGGGGAATTTGAGGCGCTAACTTATTCTTGACTTCCTTTCTTAGTGGCTGGCATCGTAAGTTCTGATGTCTCAAATGCTGTTTCATCTCTTGCTTGTCAATCTTGTGTGGGGTCTAGTCTCCCTTTTCTTTCTCGGGACCTTATTTTTCTTATGGGGCTTTTCTATTTTGCGTTTATTCATACATCTAGGTTCTCGAAGTCGCAGCTTCTTTCCATCTGGCTCGAAGACTCTGTCTTCATTCCTTTTGGTTCCTGGAAGAACGATTTGTGCTGTTGAGGGCACTTCTCCTATGTTTGAAGTTTCCTGAAAAAGATCTTTAAAAATAGGCATGTCGTTACGATCATGATATTTTTTCATTTGATCTACCTTGGCAGTAATCTTGTCCTCTTTGCTTCCTTTTAAATATAAAACTGATCCACAAATACATTTAATCACATAAGGACCTTCAAATCTCTAGAAAAATTTTGACACTTTTTTGAGTGGGTCGCAAGACAAGGCATATTTTCTTCTCAGTACTTTATCACCAGGTTTAAAATTAAAATAACGTCTTTTCTTATTATAGTAGAGCGACTGTTTTTCTCTAGCTACATCTGAATTTTTGATTACATCATTAATTAATTTTTGAATGTCTTTTTGTTTAAATTCTGCCCCTTTTTTCTGGATAAAAAATAATTTATCTAATATATCTAAATAATTTATCTAATTTATCTATCTTCCTCCCCGGAAAGAGTTCACAAGGGGCCTTTCCTGTGGTATCATATCTACACAGTCATCCCATCGTCGGTGATACGTTTTTACATAGCTCCGAATGATTTTAACTATGTTTCTGTTTACGCGCTCGTCAATATTTGACTGCGGTGTGTACAGGGCC